CCCGGTGATGGCGGCTGAATACGCCGGTTAAACGTCGCCGACGATGTTTCTCTGTTAATTGTGCTGAACACACACCGGGCATTCTGTAAATGGACCCGTTTCTGCCCGATGATAATTACAAGGTGAAAAGAAGGCTGGTCGTGGTAATAAGGAAACCGGCTAATGTCACTTTTCCTTGTGCCAACAGTTAAATGCCCTTTGGAACGTTTCCGTGGCTGAGATTCCCTACCTACGGTTGCATAGTTTAGGAAGCAAACGAAATTCAATACCATCGCGCTTGCTCGAGTCAGAAATTTTTAAGACTTTTCAATTTCTTTATTTTCAATGTATTTTCTTTACCAGAAGCGTGAAATTAGCAAAGCTTCGGGGTGAATTAAATTACTTTTCGAAATGTACCGTTCTATGTAATTTCGTAAATGATAAAATCGTTTTCGAATTAACACGTCCGTAACGGTTTAGCAATCTTAGAAACCGATATGTAGTTTCAGAAGATCAACGTCGAACGTTACCCCGAGGGAATACGTTTAAAGGATGCAGAAGTTTGTTAGACGCCGGGACGGGCACAGCTGTTCGACGGAAAGGGAGATGGGGGGACAAAAGTTTTCAAGGTGATCGACACCGGGGCTAACACTTTGCGAATCTTGGCGGATTGTCGGTTGTTCCTTAAGCGTCTTCTCCCCTTCGAGGGAGTCGCCCGTGGGAAAGTTGCGCCAAGAAAGCCGCGCCGAGGGGTTCAGAGACTTTAAGGGTCAGCTCCTAGGGTCTTGGGGAAGCGAGGTGTTCCGAATTGTCGAAGGTCGGTCGGCTTGGCATAACCGTTAAAAGGGAGCCGGCTGGTTGGCTTAAGAAGCACGATTGAAGATCTTTGAATAGAAAAACGGTGAAGGGGAGAATGTAAGGCGAGAAGACGCGAGTCGTCGTTACGCCCTGAGTCAGTTTACCCGTTTCGAGTCGGAAAGAGAGAAAAGAAAAATTGCAACTGAACGGGGGATGTTTCGATGGCGATTGGTGTTCGCGGATCGACAGGGTGGTTGCGGAATGGTGCGAAATGAAAAAAAAAAAAAAAAAAAGAAAAAACAAGGAAAACACAAGCAACCACTGAAGTTTCCCCTTTTAATTGGTGCTCTCGCTTGTACCGCGTGCGAGCCGTTACAAAAGCGACGCGTCGAAACAGCAACTCGCGACGATGAAGATCAGGTATGAAGAAGGCGTCACGACAACAAGCATCGTTCCCATTAAACGCTTCAATACGCGGCACCTCGAAAGCTCGCATTGTTGCTTCACCTGCACGCCATAATACGCACCGCGGTTACGAAAAAAAGGTGTTCACGAATTTACGGACGTCGCTCGTGTCGCCCGAGTACTCGAGGACTGGCTTTGTGCTCGAGAAGCACGCTGGAAAGAATTGGACGCGACTCAAGAATTCCTTGAACGACAGAAACGGTTCCATTCAGACCACGCGAGCAGGAGAAATGAAAGGGATTATTATAATTGGAAGAAAGTTCAGATTTTAACACTTCCCTGGGTGTGGATAAAACGACGGGTAAACGAGCATTAAATAGAAGGCAGGATGGTAAGATTTGCTTGATCGAGAAGAAGTAAGTGAAATCGTGGGAAAAGAGGCCGACATAATTTTATCCTCCCTTCTCGAGATAATATTTCTGATGGAGCTAAGGATCGCGAAAAGGAAAAGAAAAAAAAAAAAGAACGCAAGGTAACGATTTCCGTTCGAGCTGAGAGTTAATTATTCCCTCTTCGAAGACACTCCGTTTCGTTCGTCTTCCTTCTAACCGTCACCTTTCTATCTGTCTCTCTTTTTCATTTTTTTTCTTTCTCCTCTTTTTTCGGTGGCAAAGGCAGCCTCGTAATTAGATGCTAATAATCAGCACCCTCCAGAAGGATCACGCTCTTTTCCTCTTCCTCTGGCCCCGGTCTCTCTCGGTCTCACTCGACGTCGCGTCGCCCCGTTGCAACGGGGCGCAAGAAAACCCAAGCCCCTGAAGAGCTTATTATTATCCTAATTATACAATACTATAATGAATGACTTCGCGGCTCACCCTCTAGCCCCTTACTCTCACTATCTTCCTACCGTTTCAACTCTCTATCCGCCTCTCTTTCTCGCTCTATCTTCCTCGATTTCTCCCTCTCGCTCCTTTTTTCCTTTCTTCTCGCTCACCGTTGCTCTTCTCCTCTGCACTTGGTGGTCGAAGAGTGGCAATTCTAGCACTCCGGGCTTTTTGTCAAACCGACTACGGAACTAGTGCCGTCTCCCTCGCGCCCTTACACCCCTATTATGCGACCATCCAACGTCTCTCGTCCCGTTTCGCTCTCTGTCTCCTGGTGTCTGTTTTAATTAGGCACTTCGCGGATATATATACGTATCTACCCGGTACGGTATTACGTAGCTACATGAACCGGAGCCGAGACCTAGCCCAATCTGCCTACCGTATTCCACCTATACTCGGCGATCCGACGAGCTTGAATGCGGTTGATGGGTGGTTGAGTAAGGATTATAGGCGCAGGTGGCACATACACGTTACCTCCGTAGCGAGGCTGAAGTCGGGGGGTGGCTCGGCCCCGATGGGTCGCTGCTGCCGCCACCGCTGACGGTTCAAGGAGACGTTGAAATAGAGTGAGAGAGAGAGAGATGAGGAGAGAAAAAGAAGTGTGCTGCGACGGGAGCGAAAGGGAGAAACGAGCCACCGCGAAGGGAGAAAGTGAACGCGGGTGATATAGGTGGTGAGGGAGCGAGAAAGGGCGCGGAACACGATTCTGCAGAGACACACACCTCTTTCAATTCTCCTCTCGTGTGTACAAGCTTCTCTGACTGACTGCTGATAAGAGCACGCGAAATTGTCTTAATTGGTGAGAGAGCCAATCTGCGAGTGATCGAATGAGAAGAGCCTCTCCCGTCTCCGCCAACTGAATCCACCTCTCGCCCTTTCTTCTGCTAGCCATCTATAGATCCGGCCGCGACGCATGAAAGATCCCATTGTTTTCTTCCGTTGGCTCGAGTGCGTTCGATCAACGAGTACCGACCAAACCAATCATCCAGCTTTCCCCGATTCTCGATCTTCTTCGTTATTTTAAGTGTCATCGGTTTACATCCATCTAGTCTTGTCGGTTTAAATTTCCGCCCTCGTCGAGTTCGTCGTTGTCAAATGAACGGATATCCTTCTTTTTTTAGAATAAAATATCACTGTCTGGATAGGATTGACAAAGAGTTTAGATAAGAAAAGAACGAGGAATCTTAACGGAATATTGACGGTCGTTTAAGCGACTAGGCTCAGTAGGAAACGAGAAGGACGGATACGGAAATGTTCGTCGATCTTTCTGTTTCACGAACGGCGCGCGAGTCCGCCAGGCGGAAGCAATCTTAAAAATTGCTCCCAACGGCACCGAACGAGACCAAGACCCGAAGCTTGAACTGGTTGGCTCACATTGTCGAGCATTCAGGGAGGTCGAGTTATACAAGCCGCAGTAGCACTACCGACTCGTTGCTTTCCCGCTGAACCGTACTTCTTTGCATCCCCTCGGGATCCAAAGTGCAAGATCAACCTGACTGCCATTCTCGCTGCCATTCTGGCCTGCTACTCTAGGATGTACTTCCACCAACGGGGGCCGACTTCTGTGTGCATTTAAGGGTGAGGAGGATAGGGACCCGGAAAGAAGAAAGATCGAGGAAAAGAATGGAAAAAAATATCCGACCAAGTAGCAGCCTCCTCTTGCTGAACACCGTTTCTACGCTCTCGCGGTTCTCGCGTCAACTCGTTCTACTGTTTTTCTCGATCGACTTTCTGTGCTTCGGGTACACAAGAACGGGAGGACGTTTCTTTTTCTCATCCACGTCTTTTTCATTTCTTCGGTCGCGCTTTAGTAGAGGTAGAGATTCATTCGTTGGTTCTATTAGATATTAATACAGTAAACTCTTGTTATATTGCCATGGATGGGACAAAATTTCAACCTCTTATTTCAAAGGGAAAGAAAGAAAAAATTTCCAAGAAAAAAATTAATTTCCATATTAAAATATTAGCGCGAAATTTCACGATTTTTCCACTGAAAGAACGAAAAACGTATCTTACAAGGCTGTTTTCGTTCGTCTGGATGAAGAGGAACGGAACGCAAGCGTATAGAAACTAAGTCCGGCTTTGGTTGAATTGAAAAAATAATTAATTTCTTAATCAGTGGCAGAGTTGCATTGAAGTTGCAGCCGCAAAGACGTCTCACAAAGAGGCACGGCTGGCGTTCAAAGTATTCGTTTTCTCTGGCGGCACGACGCGTCGTTCCTTTCCCGAGTTTTTCGGTGAGATCCACCGAAGCGAAGCCACCCCTTGATGCTGGCCCCGTACTCCCCTTCCTGCCATCTCTGCACGGTAGCTCGGGTCACTATTACTATACAAATTACCCGCCAATTAGTGACTTGTGCTTGTTTAACTGCGTTAATTAATGAACGTAAACGGCAAACTTGGCGGGGACTCGATTTTTTCCTTTGCCGCCCACGAGAAAAGAAGAAAAACCGTATCGCGACGCGATCCCACCGCGTTTTCTTTGTAAATGCGCGCGCTCCCGTTACGTTTCACTGTGAACGTACCACCAGTTAGGGTTGTCTTGGACGATACAGTAACGGAGTTCTTAATAGTTTCTTTGAACGGTGTCGCTCGACAACCGACGACGAGTTGTACACATCTCTTCGCATCCCCCTTCTTCGCTTCTTCACCTTCTGCAGCTCGCGTCAGACCACTTTTGGTATCGACCCTTAATTAATTATCGGTAGTGCATCAGCATTCTACGTTCGCCCGAGGAAAAATTAAAAGGAAATTAATTATAGGAAAAATTAATTTTCATGTTTTTCTTCTAATGATAGGGAAGAAAACTAACGATTTGATTTTGATAAAATCTTCGATATATTTGATATTATATTCGTAATTGGTGAAAATGCTCAGATACCTTGTACAATTTTAAAAGTGATCATTGTCATTAATTTGGTTCTTATCTTTCAGGGAGTTCTACTATATTCAAATGGAGAAATACGCGAGGCAAGCGGTTTCTGAAGGTGTGAAGAATGTCGAGGAGCTTCGGGTCGGTGGTGACTCGGAAATCTATCGAGTTCTCAACCTTCATTACAACCGAAACAATCACATTGAGGTAAGTGATTTTATCTTTCTTCTATTACAATGTTTCTTGTAATGAAAAATAGCTGCCACGAAAAATTCAATATTTACAATTAAAATACTATAATAGTTTCGAATTTGAAAAATATCTGCCGACTTTCACAGTGAATTGAAAATGAATTAAATCGATAATAATTTCTATGATTCGGAATAAAGTGAGATTTTGTTATTCCAGCGTTAATGCGAGTAACCGTATAAAATAACATTTCTATCCTCTATGATTCTCTAATCAAATCGGTGATATCAGAGTTGAAATTTCGATAGGATCAATAAAATAGCCGCGAGCCTGATCGTTTCTATCACCTAGTATGCAATTATTCGGCGGTCGGTCGACGGCCAGGCGCGTTACCCATCTTTCGATCGGTAGAACGCTTTTAAACGAGTTCGAACTCGTACACATCCGGCTTTTACACGTCGAGGTTTCCTCGTAAATCACTCGTACGTCTCTACTTTCCCATTGTGGGGCGCAATTTACTTTCGCCACCGCGTAACGACCGTTGATTGTATTTACAGCGAACGGGTGACGGCGTGTGTGCACACGTAAAGCAGCTATTTAATATTATTTAACGAGTCTCCGGTGTAACCTGGAGGCTCTATTCTTCCTCTCGCCTGTTACAATCGCCGCCCGCTTGACGCGTAATTAATTACTCGTGTTCGTTAATAACCCAAACGTACTAATTATCAGTGGAAACTCTTAGCGCCAGTTCGTCCGTGTGACCGCTCGTCTCGCTCGTTAAGCGATACACGCGTCACATCGTTTTAATTGTTTCGCTCCTTCGGTGGATCGTAATGAGCGCGGAGAAATTATCTTTCTCGTTTGTGACGGATTTTATTTCTCTCTTCCTTTTCTGTTCGAGCAACCTCGCGATTCACTCTTTGATGTTTATTCCCTCGTCAAAATGCGAAGTTATCTAGAAATAAGAAAAAAAAATAGATAGTTCAAATCGAAATTGTTATAGTTTTTTGTGGAAAAGAGAATTGATGAAACTTCAACCCTTCTAGGATCGTTCTCTAAAATTTATATTAACCCTTGAACGACGTAATTTGCTTAATGCAAAATTGAATTAAAATTGAGACTCTCCATTGTGTAAATTCTCCTTTTTCACTTTGTAAATGATACTTGGAAGATAGAAATAGAAGATGGAAAATTTATTTATGACACTACTAAATTGATATTATTAACACTTGTATTCCACACGGTTCTATATGGGTTGAAAGTGTTTTTCCAATGAAAACTTTCAATTATTATTTAGTATATTCAGAAGAGAAAAGTAAAGGATCTCGAATATTATCCCCTTAAAGCCTGGTTATGAATTACAGGTACCGACCCACTTCAGGTTCGTCGTCGAGCAGACGCTAAAGGAATTCTTCAAAGCTATCCAAGGTGGCAAAGACAACGAACAGAGCTGGAAGAAGTCCATCTACAAAGTGATCGCTAAGCTGGACGACGCGGTACCGGACTACTTCAAGACCCCGAACTTCCTGGATCAGCTCGTATGAATCAGCAGGTCGCGTGACTCTTGCTCTTCGTGGTGCGCGGGCTCGTCAGCGCTCGTCGGCTCCCGGTAAAGTCAGAAAACTAACAGAACGATTACGAAGAGGGAGGAACGGTCAGCGAGGAAGGATCGCATCCGCCATTGGAGGTACACGTCCTTCGCGTAAAAGCGCGTTCAGGTATCCTTACAAACTAACATATCGCAGAACGATCGTGAGAGAGATAGAGGGAGATTAGTTGGGAGGGAGTGAAAGATAGATAGAAATGAGATAAAATGTTAGGGAGATTAGAGGAGTAAGAGAAAAAAAAAAAAAAGAAAGGGAAAGAAAAGTACAGAGAGAGAAACGTTCGAACGAACGAACACGCGACGTACGGAGGCATCGATCATCCTAAACCGAAAAGGAACCCGATGAGGAGTGCCGACGAAGGATCAGGCTGTGACCTAATCACGAGACAACGTTCACGAGCGGGACCGGTTGGATTTATTTCACGCTTCGTGCCTTTTTAATCGGACCGATCATAGATAATTAATCGCGATCGGATGCGACCAGTTACTAAGCGAGGCCACGAACTGTCCAGCCTGTCCTCGCCGCGGACGGCATCGATACGACGACGGTTCTGGGAGGAAGCGGAAGAATACATAGAACGAGAAAGCGTGGTCAACGAACGGCAAGGAATACTACAAACAAGCTTCGAACGTCGAGTATTGTTTTCGATTTGTTGCGTAACAAGCAGACAACAGTTCACCGATTACCGCCTAATTTTAAGACCCTCGTTTATTCCGAATCTAGACATGTAAGGGAAGAGAAAGAGCATTCGTGAAAAACGGTGACGACGATCGATCGAAGGCTGGCATTCTTTCGAGCGAACGAAAAGTTCAATGGTATGGCTACCGTTTTGTCCAATATTTCTAGATGATACCGATTTAAAAAGAAAAGAAAAGTTTACTACTTATCGTGTGGTTCGATGGTGAAGCAAGATCCGCTGGACGGATCCTCCGCAGCTTCCGTTCGAGAGGCAGAAGAGGAGACCCTCCTCGTGGATCTTGGTGGAACGAGCGGTGACGAACGGTATTCGCCCTCCGTTTCCGTTCGTTTCCAAGGCGCTACAACGATGGCCAGTTTCACTTGGCATTCGTCACGCTGCGTACCTTTGGTCTTTTTCTTTTTTTTTTTTTTTCTTTCTACGAGGAACCCTTGTTGCTCGATCGAACGCACCCTCGTCGACCCGTCGTCCCGACGGCAATTTCGTTTCTAACCGCGATCGCTCCGACATCCGCTCGACAGAGCCAAAGATGATTAGTTGTTTCGAAAGGGATCCCAGGTTCGTACCGAATCGACGGGAACAACTAGCGCCGTTACCAAATTTTACTTTCAGCGGAAGTTAACCCCGTCGTTTCCGAAGACGATACAGCCGACCGGCAAACGGGCCGGTCTCCTGCGCGTCGATCCTTTCTTTTTTCTTTTTAATTAATCCTTAAGTTGTACATAGGTTCAGTTTCTCGTCAGAATTCTAGCGAATATTCTTTGAAGAAGCGAGACGGTACACGGTAAGAATTCCTGAATGGCATTCGTCGAACGTGACATACGAAATCTGGATGTTTCGTTTCTCGTTCGAGCATGGATTCTTAGTACACGACGTTTACGTAGAGATGTTTTTTAATTAAATTAAATGGTTAATTGATATGTAAACGAGGTTAGGCTAGTCGCAGTGACAGGAGTACGAGTAACAGGGACGACGAAATGGGAAGTGACGATATTTTCGATGATTTGCACGTGAATTAAAGAAGGGGGGAGATCAATTTTGAGAAAGAGACTAAAAGATAAATAAACAATCGTACGCCGGTGCGTAACTATAATAAAGGTAGATTATATTTAAAAAAAAAAAAAAGAACTTATATAATATATATATATACATATATAATTGCATCAAATTCTATGTATATATATTAGACTTTAAAGCAAAAAGACGAATATTGGCGCGATTAAAATTGCGTAAAGAATGCGTGACAGAGGATTAGACGACCATAAACCTCCCTTATTTCCACTTCTACCCTAACCACGTCACACACACGTTACACACGCGCGCGTACACGTCCTAACCAACCCCCCTCCGGCCGCGCGCGTACGCACACTAAGCGATACACACTTTACAACCCTTATTGTACATACAAGCACATATATGCACGGTTTATTCGCGAGATGTTCATTGCTAACGCGTATGTGTTCTATCGTCGCAAAAAAAAAAAAAAAATGATTTCTTTTTTTCCCGGTCGACGATTTGTAGATACGTTATCGTACGTTATGATAATTATTATTACACCGAGTTATATTGTAACTTAAATTGATTGCCTTTTCACTATTATTATTATTCCCGCTATTATGTGCACTATTATTATTATTATCATTATTGAAATATTATTGCTATTATTATATTATGTTACGAGTATTTTGTGAGAATGCGATGATCACGATTGATTTCATTCCCTGAAGCCTTAGTTTTCAACCGAAATTTATCACGTCGCAGGAATATCCAGCAATACGTGTGTACCCTGTTCACGAGATCCTGTCCCCTTTACTTTATTTCCCTCCCTTGTATATTTGTAAGCTTCACTCTCACCGTATCTACCTTCTGGCATTTTAGTTTATCATTGTATTTAGTTATTGTATTCGCCACGACCATTATAATTATTATTACTATTATTATCATTATTATAATTAAGCATGAGTTTATGCAAGTGTACACGACAAAGAGAGGAGAGCAATCAACAAAGGTATTACACGGAAGAAAAAGGAAAAAAAAAAACACGAACACATGAACACACACGTTTCTGTAAGCGGTGAGTCTTAACCTAGTCACGAGTCACTAATGTTTTAATTTTAACGATCGATTTATTGATTATTATTTTATTTATTATCTACGAGAATAAAAGCGACACATTAGACTCTAAGTTGTCTATTTTTCTTTTTCTTTTTCTCGCGTTGTTTTTGTAGCGTCGTTACGTTTTCTACCACCGAGCAGTACGCGCCAGACACTTCGCCCCAATCCCGAAAAAAAATACCCGAAACCACCCCCTCCCCCCCTCTTCGAAATTGTGCATTCGAATTCGATCGCGACCGGCGAATACGTTCTCAAGTGTTAATCGACTGCCGCCAAACCCGGCCTACCTTCAATCCAACACCGAACGAACCGATTTTCACGAGGAACGCGACGACGATTCGCGTGTCGCGTGCGAAATCGTCGAATCGAATCATTGTGGAACGAGAGTAACATCCGGGGCTCCCCGCGAATGGGCAACAAAATCAAGGGGATGGGTGGGGTGGATAAAGGAAGATAAAAAATTGGAGAAAATTTCGACTCTTAGATAACTAGACAGTGGCCTAAAATTAAAGTAGGATCTCCTTCGGCGCTGGCCTAAGATTTGGTCTAAACGTTCACGTTCGGGGAGGAAAAGGGGTGGAAATAAAGAAAAAACGTACCTGCGCTCGCTTGGGAGCCTCCATGGATTCGATATCACGATTTCCGGGCCGGGAACGTAACCGTCGTCGCGTATACTCGTTCGCGTTCGGTTTCAGTTCCTATTCGCACCAACAATCAGCGACCACGTTATTCGCCCGGCGATCATTTAGCAGTGAAACTTAATCTACAAATGCGCGAATTTTCGTAGCGAATTGTTAATCGATCCGTTGAAATTTTGGCTATCCGCTGGTTTAAGCGTTGAACGAGACAAAATGATACATACGTGTTTGTTTAATAGGGGATGAAAAATAAATTTGCTAAATGTTAGGTGAATCGATCGTTGCGAACGAATATGATCGAGGAATTATTTAAAGGAGGCTTATTATTTTTCTACGAATTTATTTAAAAAATTCTCTCGAATATACGCGTCCAAATCAACGATTTCTTACTTCGAAGGGTGGCCCGAAAGGGTGCCCTGTTGAAAACGCATTCGTGGATTAAAAATGAGCTAGCTCCGGGATATTGAAACGATTTTTCTCAAAACGGAGCATCCTCTTCGCGGCAATTAAATAAAAATCAATGAATAATCAACCCTCACTCGTTACCGTAAACCGCTACACCGAACACCCTGACACTTATTCTTGCGACAAAGAAATCTGAAAATCAGCCGACCAATAGAAACAGTCTATCAAGTTTTTTCACACGCTTAACAGAAAGAGAGAAGCATGCCAACAGTTGACCAGAAAATAAATATTCCGGTATCGAAAGATGAATTTTCGTAAATAATAAAGAAAACAAATCCCGAGTCGTCCTTCTCATCGCAGACGGAGGCGAAATCAATGGAAACAGGATCTAAACTAGCCGACAGATAAATCTCCGTTAATCGAGAAAATAAAAAATCACGCGTCGAAGCCTAATTCTCGATTTGCAACGAGGATTTTCGATTTCTTTCTTCAAACGACCCGCCGCGAAGGACGAACCGCCACGGATCACGCAAACGAATCGCGAACATGCGTTCGAAAGTCCAAAAATAAAAAAAGAGGAAAACAAACGGAGCCGAAATCCGCGTCCGGACCTCTCGATCGATCCGCTTCGCTTCAGAATCCTGACGAAACGAATCGTTGAGAAATTTTCGGACAAAGTCGATTCGAAAAGGTCGTAGAACGGAGAATTCGGACGCGGATCGGAGAGTTGAGAAAAAAACGAAAGGGATTCCTTTAGCCGACGAAACCTTTACGGACAAGAGAGTGCGCGCGATCCTGTTCGAGATTACGAAAAATGGAGGAAAGTCGAGGATTGAGGAGGAAGAAACGAACGATAGCCGATCGACTCGCCGTTATTACGTGTGTTTTTTTTTTCGTACAGCGGGGCTGTAGCACGGAGAACGAGTACACGGAACGAATTGATATAAAGAGAGATTAAGAGCGGTTTCTTCGACGATGGATGGATACGGTGTAATTAAAACGCACCGTACGACATACCTAAACGCGTAAATTTTAAGGGACACGTGTAAGCAGAATTAAGTAATAGTATTTAACGTTAACACTTGCAAGCTATTAATTATTATATAAACGATTAACTAATGGTAATTAAACGGAATGAAAATAAAAAAAATGTAATATTGATAAAAGAAAGCCGAACGGAAGGTCGTGTCACGCTGCAGCGAATAAAAATAAAAAAAAAATAATAATGAAAGAGAGGGAGAGAGAGTGAGACGAAGAGGATTAAGGAGCCGCTTTAATTACGACGGCGAAACAAAGAGGTTGAGAAACGGAATACACGCAACACTAATAAACTAATTATTATTATATGATTATATATTATTATTACGATTATTGCTATCGAGTTCGAGAAATTCGTCGTGATAAAAATTGATGAAAAAAAAAAACATTTGCGTAAGACATAGGTGATAGCTGTGAGCGAGTGCGGGATATTCATTCAAACGCGGGAGAGAGTGATAGGAATATGTTGCATGAGCGTGAGAGGTGATCGTGAGACTGGACAGGGAAAATTTCCGAATAAACTTCGAGGTATGTTCATCGAGAATAATAATTCCTCAAACTATTAGGAGCGTAATTAGGATATATTTATTATGACGGGATATAGACATGGCGTAATGCAACGAGCGAGACACGAGGGTGAAAATGTGAGAGGCGAGAAAGTTTATGCGAGAATGAAGTAAAAAAAGTAAAAAGGAAAAATATATAAAACGTTTTTTTCTCTGTAGAATATCGTCGCGAGACGCGCCTTTCGGATCGAGCGCGTTACGTTGAAAAATTTAGTCTAGGGACGAAAGGGAAGAAGAATCGTGCGATTGAGAAGATCAGTGAGGAAGAATGAGAGAGTGAAAGAGATAGAACGAACGAGAAATTATGTTTTTATGTGAGAGAGCGCCTACGTATGCGAAGAAGGTTTTAAAGAAGAAGAAGAAAAAAAAGAGAAAATTAGAGAGGAGGGAGAAGAGAAAGATTACTGATTGTTGACACCGAGTGAGCTAACTTTCTGTGTGATAATCTCGTAGTACACGTAGCCCGTTAAGTCTACAATACGTTTCGGTAGAGGAATTTTAGGTGAGAACGACTAAATCTTTTTTAAACGTCGGACGATATGAAATTAACGCGAAGGAGGAGACGATTACGGTCCAGGATTTCGAGAGGTGTTTAACAATTATATATTTTCATCGCTCCATTTGGAAAATTCGTCGGTATGGCCGACAGTCGACATATCATGTTGTATTTGAAAAATTCATATAATAATTAGTTGCAGAGAACTCGACGGAGCCGTCGATTACTCCGGCCCGTCGAATTATAATAGATCATCAATTATTTGATTTAGAGAGTAGATATACTGGGAATTCTTCGTCCTCAATTAGGAGATTCGAGACGGTTTTCTTTAATTTTACATCGCCCCACCGTAATTCCACCCTTTGCAGGCCGTGATTTTCTAACAGGATTCCGTTCGTATTAATCGAATCGTTTAACCTTTTGAGTAAATTAATTTATCATTAATCTTATAATAGCTTCGGTTAACCGCAGTGAATGTTACCTTGATTTTTATAAACGGGTTGTTTACTTAAAATCGAGACGAACAGTTCCAGCGTGGATACTTTAGCAAAATGAAAAAATGAAGGGACTAAGAGTATTAGTTTCTAAATGTCTTTGGCGCAATTTTTGAAAAATCTATTTCGAGGACAGGAGTGAAAGGGAGGGAGAGAATGAAAAGCGTGATTGAGGGGGAGAGATTGTTAAAAAGAAAAAAGAAAGAAAATTTCGTAGAGGCAGCGAAAATTCTAAATTAAAGTTCCTATCGCTTCGCCTTCTAAGCCTGACACGCCGGACGCGTAGACTTTTAAATAAACAACCCTGCCTTCCCATTAGACTGCATCGTTTGCCGTTCAACTACCTCGAATTATAAAAAAAACCACCGACGGCACTCCCCCTACAGCTAGGTAAACGGCCTGGAAAGGGTTGACAGACACCGTTCGTTTAACAGATCAACTCCGCTATACAAATCTGATATTCCAAAATCAACCCCCCGATCGTGCAACCCTCGTCTCGAATTTCGAAAAATCGAATTACAACTCGATACGGGGGACGAAGAAATGGAACCTCTCGGAATTCGACCGAGGATCCGTCGAAACTTGGGGGTAGGAGGGTGGGTGGGTGGGTAGGGGGTTCAAGGGGGCAGAGACGGAGGCCGAGGAAATTCGGGAACGGTGTAGAAGCGTGTAGGGAGCCAAGTGTCCTTGATGCGACCGTCGTTGAAGCCACGAAATCTCGCGATCTCAACAGGTGATTTTTTTGAAAACGTACAAGTGAGAAATTTGAAAAATAAGCGGGGATAATATGGGAATGGTTACCATCGGGAGTAATTGGATAAAAAAAAGTCACGACTGAGAAGAAATCCATACAAAGTGCGATTTCGGAACTGAGTTCGGAGCCACGGGCGATAGACGATCGGCGCAAAACCGATTCTAGTTGAGGGAGAGAAAGGAACGGAGCGTTAGCGAGGGAGTGATCGACGACGAACGACAGCGAATCGAGAGAATGGGAAATTTTTTGAAAGAAGAGAGAAAGTGACGACGAGTGATCGTGTTGAAGAAAAATTGATTAAAATTATACAGAGATCGCCGACCTCCTTGGCTACCGGGAGGTCCGCATATATGTATTGTAAAAAAGCAAGCTTAGTAAATGATAAAGAGGGAAGAATTAGGAGAGTAGAAAAGAGAGAAGAGAAATTATTAGACCAGTTGTAAGTGTAAGATAAAAAAAAAAAAAAAGAGGAATCTTTCGCCCCCATCCTTTTCGTGCACGATACTTTTGGCAATTCTTTCGCGAGCGAGAATG